TACTATGGTTGTGGTTTAAGTTACAACAGAACATAAAAAGTCAGCATCATTGTTGTACTTAGATTTGAAGTTGCTATATTAACATTTTAGTGAAGCTGATCTTACTGAAAAACCTTGCAAAAAAATGAAAATTACCTTTAAAAAAAAGCCAAAAGCTGTTCCCAGTATGGACTGGGAGAAAATCTGAGCACAAGCTTGTAATGATGTAGAGAATCATTTCTAGTTTATTTGTGAATAAAGCAACAAGTAACTGGTAACTGATAAAAGTANTGAGAGAATAGACAGGGAGACGGTTTGTAATGAGATATCTCTGTGCAGTTTCAGTATTGAGATCATTATTGAAAATCCAATTGAACTGTTCGAAATAACAATAGAAATAATGGATATAAACGATCATGCTCCGAAATTCCCGAATGATGAAATAAATATTGAGATCAGTGAGGCGGCGCTGCCCGGTGCGCGGTTTTTGCTGGACAGCGCTTATGATCCCGATGTCGGTATTAATACCATACAGAGCTACAGTCTGAAACCGACTGATAACTTCGTATTAAAACAGGAGACCCGTTCTGATGGTACTAAATATATTGAGATGATGTTACAGTCCCCCGTAGACAGAGAGAAACAGGAGGATTTGTCTCTAACATTAACTGCTGTAGACGGAGGTCACCCACCGCGGTCCGGCATGATGAAAATAAATTTAAAGGTTTTGGATGCGAATGATAACGCTCCGGTTTTTAGCAAGAAGTTCTACAGAGCTGCTATTCCAGAAAACTCATTTAAGGGTACGTTTGTTACAAAAGTAAGTGCAACTGACTCTGATAAAGGGATTAATGGTGAAGTTACATACGCTTTTAGGCAAACAGAAAAACATAGTGGCGAATTTGAAATCGACAAAAAATCTGGGGAGATTTATGTCAGAGAAAATATAGATTTTGAAAATAAACAGAAATATGAAATCAGTATTGAAGCAAGGGATCACGGTGGTTTTACGGATTCTTGTGCTGTTATTGTTGATGTAATTGACGTGAATGATAACATTCCCATTATAACGTTAACATCATTCACTAATCCGGTTTCTGAAGACGCTTTACCCGGAACTACTATTGCAGTCATTAACGTTAAAGACTTGGACTCGGGAGAAAACGGTCAGGTCAATTGTTTTATATCTGAGGACTGTCCATTTGCCATAAAATCATCAATAAGGAATTTCTTCACTCTTCGAACAATAAAAATGCTTAACAGAGAAAAACACTCAGAATATAATCTTACCGTAACAGCAACAGACGAAGGGTCACCTCCTCTATCCAGCAACAAGACATTACATATCAGAGTGTCCGATGTCAATGATAATGCGCCAGCATTTGAACAACGGTCTTACTCAGTTTATTTAACGGAAAACAACACACCCGGTGTTTCAATTTTCACTGTAAAAGCCAATGATGCCGACTGCTGCCAG